AGAATAAAGCAGTTGAGCAGTGCATGAGAGCAAGTGTTGAAAGCAGCAGCAACATACAAGTTCTGATCTCCTTTTGAATGTCAGTGCACAGGGCTTGTAGTCCATGCTCTGAGTGCTTTCCAGTGGGATAAGTTGTTCATAGAAGAGAGGGGTTTCACTGAGGTCACCCTCATCCCCAGCCTCCTCCCTCTGCCTCTCGAGCACACGATGCGTGTGCTCCAGCTGTGCCTGCGAATCTGGCTTCTACTCCATTTGTCAGCTTGAAAGAGGGTGTGAAATAAATCAGTTCCTTTCTGGCTGAATTGAGATGGTGATTTACAGCTGAAGAACTGAACTGAGAACTGAGGTTAACGCCGTGATCCACTCTGCCACTGAATGGATGGATTACTTTTAGCAAGACTCTTAAACTTTGCTTCCCTACCAAGTAGAACATTTCTCTGATGATAAGCTTTAGAATGAGCACAATTATATCTAGCAGTACGTATTGATGCAGCGTCAAGTAAAAGATGCTGGAAATATCAGTACATCCCCATAATAAGCTTCTGATGCTCTGGAAGTCTCTTTGAGATCTGATCTGCTAAATTAATTCTGCCTGAGGGAAATTCCAGCACTCACTGCTGTGTTCTTTTTTTTTCTTTCTGCTCCACAGATCTTCCTCTGGATTTAGCGGATGGAGAAGCTAAGAACATCCTGAACTCTCCTGGAGAACTGTGCTGTAGCTCCTACGTTCATGAGTCACCTGTGTGATCAATATCCATACAGCTTTTTGTTTAAATACAAAATGTCAGACCTTTTTTTTTTTCCTCTTAAATATCCTTATTTTTATGCAGCAACTATCCTCGTTCTGTATTGAACAGTTTTATCTGTCTTTATGCTACTTGTGTTGGAAGGGCTTATCTCCCTGGATCATGAAGAAACAAACACGTGTGAGGTGTGATTGCCAGCCCTGTGCTCATAGCCTACTGTCAGCTTTGCTTTTTGTTGCCCTTCCCTATGCCCAGATAAAGGAGTAAGTAGCTCAAGTTGGTTTCGGATACAAACCAGCACATTTTTCATTGAAGTAAATGATTGATTATCCTTGGCTCTTAAGAAGGAGCTGAAGCTTGCCCTGCTAATTTTAAGTATAGGATGGGGTGCATGCTTATCTCACTGAAGTGCTAAATCTGAGTCATGTGTGAGCCAGAGGCTTAGCAGAGAAATAGGAAATTATCTGGGAAGAAGCTGGCAGTGTGCAGAGCACGTTCCCATGGCAGTAACATTCAGCAGAGAGGTGGGAAGTAAAAGCTTTCTTATTTTTACCTTCCTCTGAATTTGACAGAACTCTGAGTTCTGATTTCTGGCTATAGGGAAAACTTACATAGTGAACCTTGAAGGAGAAGTGTGACCTCCATCCAGAGGCATCAGTGATTCTGCAGCTCGTGGCTTTGGCTGCTGGTTTCCACCGTCAGCTCTGCTGTTGTTGTTTCCTAACATGTATGAGATTGTACTGCTTCCCTGTAGCTCTTGGATTCAGTCAGTAACATTTGTAAAATCCTCATATGTTTGTACTCAAACATACCAAGCAAATGCTATAAAGAATGCCCCCAAGGCATTTTGGACAAATGCTTTTTCTATTTGATGCATCTGACCTCCACAAAACCTCCAAATGATGTGATGGGTTTTTGTTGCACTGTGAAAAACGCGTTTGAGAGAATGGCTCATGTATTACTGGAATACATGCAGATGGGGTGGGTTCACCTTGGTCCTAATAGGACGTTTTGGGTTACTTCTGCTTTTTCTATTTTCAGCAGAAACATTCTGAAGTTTCATTTTCTGAATGGCACACGATATGATAGCGAGTGTCATTTTGGGGTCTGGTTGGCAAGTGGGCACGCGAGCCTTTTTTGGACTTGTACATAGTTGGTAACTGCTTGTTTCCACATCTGATGTTATAAACCAAATTCTGACACCTGTCAGCAGCTCCTGGAGCAGTCGTTCTTTCTCGAGTCGACCCAAAGCCTTAGCGTTCAGCCTGGCTCCTGTCCTGGCTGTGGGAAATGTCCTTCGTCTGCACCCAGGGATGGCGTGAGTTGGGTTCCCTTTAAAAGGAAGACCACTGACATGCAGTGAATATCTTGCACGGGGAGGGCTTATATTTAGATGAGGAGGGGCTTTGCGAGCCTGTGGGCTGCAAGGCCTTCATGTGTAGCCTGGATTTCTGAACACGGGCGTGCTGTGTTGTATTAGAGGCAGTGCTGCTGGGATGGTTTCGTTTTTAACCTTTCCTGCTAATGGAAGAGTTGTGGGTGCTGGCAGCCCTGGGGTCACAGTGAGACCTGAGAACGTCTTTTGAAAGGTGCTGGTTTGGAGAATGGAAGGAAAAGCAGGAGAGCTCAAAGTGTGCCCTCGCCGTGCGCCCTCCTTGACCGCACGCTTCCTAAGGCCTGGAGGTGATACTGCTCTTCTGTTTTCCTTCCTCTTTATAAATAGCAGCTGGCCTGAACGACTGACCTTAAATTCTTGGCGTTAATCTCACATGGCTGTGGCATGCAGCACCTCCTCACAGGGCCGTATCAGCTGTGCTCCCCCAGATAGCCAGCATGGAGAAGACCGGCTGGGTAAGAATGCAGTGTTGGCACAGGGAGCCATTTCAAGTTTCTTTTTTGGAACGATGGGAGCAGTTGGGGGTTGTCCCTGCTGTGCTGCTTGCTGACTGTTTAACTCCTCTTCCCTTTGTGATAGAGAGGCTCTGCTAATGACTGCAGATGCTGGTCGAGCACACGAGTTGCTCTCTTGCAACGCTTCCAAAATCGTGGCTGAAACAAGCCAACCCCTGCCCTTGGGGAATGGGTGCTGCTCCTGGTTTCCATAGCAGCTGCTGGAGGAGCTGAGCAGCACTGGAAGGCTGATCGTGAGCCTACAGGAACAAAACGTAGCAAAGTCAACTTCCCAAAGTCTGCATTTCTACCAGATGACTCGAGGGCTTGCAGAGCGTGCGCCCTGCTCGGCTGCTGGCTGCCAGGAACTGCTGCAGGCTGTTGGCTGTGCTGGGAGCACGTGGCCTGTGCCCAGCATGTGGACAGATGTCCACCAAAGAACAAAGCTATGACAAATCAGCTCCCAGCCTGGCAGGGCTGGTGAGGAAACTGATGACCAAGTGTGGGCCTGGAGCCCTTGTTTGTTACTTCTGTTGTCCGTGCTGGTTGGTCTTCAGAGAGGTGATAACAACTGTTGGAAGGCTTAGCATTACCATTCTGTCCCCCTTTCTTTTTTTAATTCCCCATTTCAGTGACACAGGAGGTGGTGAGGCTGGGTCAGGTGCTTTTCTGGTGCTGCTCTGTGCCTGTAAGTGACAGCCCATCTCCTGTCACCCCGTACGTGTCCCCACCAGGGCAGCCCCATGGGCTGCAGTGACATTTTGTTCATCCCGTCTTAGTTTTCATCGTGCTGTCCTTGTGCGTTGCTTTCAGCATTTCATACAAGGAAAAATAACCCTGCCAGAGGCTCAGGCATGGCAGCCCTTGGTAGTGCTGAAGGAGTTTCTGTTCTTCAGTGTCACACTGAGCCCCAGGGGCTGGCTTAGAGGCAGCTTGGGGGCAATCAGTGGCCCTCAGTGGCCTGAAATGAGCCCTTCCTTCCTCCAGGAGCAAAACTGGGGCTGGGCTCTGTGAGGATGCCTTCCTTCAGCACAGGTGCCAGTGGTTTGCTCCATATTGCCTCATGCTCAGTTCTCTCCCGTACGTTGCTGCAGGATAAGCATTCCAAATGCAGGATATGCATTCCAAAGCCCTCTGCAACCCTGAGATGCCTCACAGCCCACTCTGGCTCTCCTGCTGGCACTCATTGTGCACCCAGAAGGGTGCTGGGGTCACTGGGGCCGTGTGTGAGGGAATCCCAGTGCAAACTGTTGGAGGAGCTCTGTGCACGTGGCACAGTGTGGGTTTTCAGCTGGTGTTTCAAGGTTCTTCAATTCATGTCAATATGTTGCTCAAAGGAACTCGCTTTAAAGCTTGAAAACACGGAGGAATGAAATTTGGTGTTAGCAGCTGCTGCATCTGAGCAGCTTACAGAGGTGTGAGATAGAGAGAGAGGAAAAGAGACCTGATTTGCACCAGCAGAGGGAAATCCCCTGCCAAAAGCCCTGAGCAGGGGCAAGGTGTGCAGAATATTGCTGCAAAGCAAGGAGCCGCTGCTGCCTTCTGCTTCACAGGGAGGGTAGAAAAATCTTGAAGCCATGCAGGAGAACCTTGGGAAGGCAAAGTGTGGTTTGTGGGCTCAGCAGGCTGGAGGTGCTGGCAGCACTGCCCATCCCTGCTCCATTATGGACTGTTGGTGTGACCTGGTGCTCCCAGGCTGTCACAGCAGCGCTGCACTGCCTGCTGTCCCCTCTCCCCCTCCTTCCTCCCAGACTGGGATGTCTAAATTTAGCCTCCTATCAACAGATGAGGCTGGAGAGTTTCCACTGAAATGAATCCCGTTCTGAACCTGTCCCCTCCATCCCTGCGAATTCCTTCCCCCATGCACGCCCTGCTCGCCCTCCCCTGCTGTGTTCCCACCCATTGCACTGCTGTGCGCTGCTGCATCTCCCTGAGCAGAGCACGGTGCTGTTTGCATTGCATGCCTGCACGCGGGTTGGGGCGAAGGGAGCAGGAACCCAACAAGAGCATAGAAAAGGCTGAGCAAAGGTTGGCTGCCGCCTTCAGAGGGATCCCCCCAGGTGCAGTATTTATGGCTGCAGCCTTTTGCTACCCGAGCAAACGGCATCAGGGAGCAGAGCTGCAGAGGTTGGGCTGCCGTGTGCTCCCATCGCTGCTCTGTCCTCCCGTCACACGGCCTGCTCATGAAAAATGCAGGATGCTGGCTGGTATTTTTAACCAGAAACCTCCTCGCTCTGTCTGATGCGGAGTCAGAGCTGCAATGGGGAGAAAAAGCTCCCTGCTCACCACGAGTGCATTGCAGCCGAGGTGGGGAGCTGCTCTACTGAAACCAGCCAACACCCAAACGACTCCAGGCCAGGCGGGTTTGAAAACTTCATTTTATTTTTCCGTCTGTTATAAAAGCAGGGTTTTGTTTTTACATCGCCATGAGTGTCCAGACTTGGTACATCGTGGTTTTGTTTTCACAGTATCTCTGCAAGACCAAGGACAAGTCTTATTGCTGTGCCTCACCCCTCGCCTTCCCAGGGCCGTGCAGAATGAATGGGCCAACCCACCTCCCCTTCTCCCACACTGCTCTGAGTCTGGGTTTGCTCTGCTGGGCTCCTGACCCTGGTGCTGCTGGCAGTGGTGAGGCAGCGCGGTTCTCCATCCCCTTCCCAGGGCATCCTTTCTAGTTTTGCTGCAGAGTGCTGCCAGAGCAGCAGCTTGCTTTCCTGGATGGATGCCCTGGGTCCCCATCCCACTCCCCAGCTGTCACCCAGCGGTGCTGGCAGCACCCACCCCTTCCAGCCACCCTTCCTTTCAGATACAGCCCATCTGTCCTCGTCGGTTTCGCAATGAAGCAGCATTGGAAAAACATCGTTTGTAACCACAAAGCATGGAATCTCACCAGAGGCAGCAGCACTTTCTATGCTGGGTGTGGTGGTGCGGATGGAGGTGGAGGGAGGCATGGTCCGAACTAGGCACGGGATAAAGGCATTCTTTGGGGAGGGAGAGGTCCATGCAAAGCTGACCCGAAGTGAAGGTTGGATTTTATATTTGCTGCTCAGCTGGGTCCGTTCAGTGCAACGGGGCAACTTAGCCAGGAGGTCGGTATGGAATTGTGTGGGTGCATCCAGTCCACCAGGTAGAGGGAGAAGGAAACAGATGTACTCGATGTGCTGGGAGAAACTGAGTCCAACACAAAGCGAAGTGGAAAAGGACAAAGGTGTTCCCTGAATGTGATTTTTTTGGTGACTGAGAATAAATCTTTCCTTGGAATTCCTTTGTGCAGCTAATTAAGACAACTGGGCCCCGTTTGTTCGACCCATGCTGACATCAGTGAGAACTGTAAGTACTCAGCACCTGGAGACAAAGTGAATACCAGACATAAATACCCCTTCTGCTCCCCCCCGCCGGTCTGCCTGGAGCAGCAGCAGAGGTGTGTGCAAGTGTTACCAGCAATCGCCCACAGCTCCCGTTTTGTCCTCTTCTGCATGTATTGCCTAGGAGAAAAGACAGCCAAGTCCTGAGGGCTGTGCCTGTGGAGCTGTAGTTGGGATCCGAATCCGTGTAAGAAAATGGAATTTAATAGAGAATGACTGTGCAAGTCAAAGCCTCCCTAGCTTCGTCCTTTATCGTCCCAAAGCCTAGATGTAGGCAACCTTTGGCTGATGGGTTTGAGGTCGATCCAGTCCAGTTGTTTGCAAGCTGCTTGTGATGTCAGACTGCCTACCTGTAGGGTCTCCCATCGCAGGGGGAGAGCAGCTCTGCAGCACAGGGAGGAGGGCACCCTGCTGGGGGGGCACGCTGCAGGGACCCCACGTCCATGTTTGCTGGTTTGAGGCGGCTGTGGGGCGTGCTTTCCCCACGCAGGGGAGATGCTGAACCTGCTGCCATAATAGACGGCGCGGCTTTGGAGAAGCGAAGGAGGAGAAATTCTTGTTGTGTGGGAGGAGGAGGTGGCAATAGCAGCGAATGGTGCTCCCCCATGGGAGAACCTTCTGAGCAGCGAGCGTGGCACCGAGACCTGCTCGGACCAGCTCTGCAGGGCCGGGAGCATCTGCAGCTGGGCTCTGCTCAGCCCCAGCTCTGGAGGCGTGTTGTGAATAAGAGGAAGAAATGTTATCTCACAGAAAGCGCTGCCACAGGCGCCCCCTCCCCCCTAAGAGCAACCTTCCCGCACCCCCTTCCTCTGCAGAAGCACATCTGCTATCTCTGAAGCCATCTGGATGAGGTTCTTGCTGAAACCCAGGTTTTGGCTCCTGCTCCAAATGCACTTTCTTGACTGGAGGATCTACACCCGAGATGTGGGTCTTCCCTGCTTCCCGCCCGGTGCAGGATCCTTGGCTACGTAACCAAACGGGCACGGTCTCACCCCGGTCCTGGAAGTTGTGTAGATCATGAGGTCATTGGGAAGAAAAATACCTACGAACCCCAACGTGATTCGTTACCGTAGGAAGAAGAGTTTTTCGTAGCTTTTGTCTCTAGTGTTTGCTAGGAACGGCCGTTCCTGAACTGTGGATATTGCTGGGTAGACGCGGTGGATGGATCTGCCCTCGCTTACACCCGTGTGTCTCGATGCCTCTGCACACAGTGGTGACCCCGAGGCTGCAGCTGCTGGCTCTGCCCATCAGAGCATCCCGTGGTACAACGCCGAGAAGTGCAAATGGGGTGAGCTCGATTCCTCCTGCCGAGCGGGGAGACGGCGGCGGAGCTCCATCCGACAGCAGGTTATTTGCATTGCTTTGAAAGCGAGATGATTTCCGAGCTTCCTCAATTGAAAACCAGGAAGGTTTTTCTTTTGATGGTGCTTCTTCCAATCCCGTGCCCTTTTCGTTTGCCTGTGACGCGCTGACCATCTCCTCCTCGCTCCGAAGCTCTTTTCCCACAAGCTCTGTAGAAAGGACATTCTGCCCGGTGGTGTTTTTGTTGTTGCTGTTGTTGTTGTTGTTTTCAGACGTAGCTTTAAGGCAAAAGTTTGGCAATGCAAAGCAAAGTCTACATAAGGCCGCATGACTTGGATTTGCAACTCAGAACCTTACAGCTTAAAAAAGAAAAATCCTTATCTTAAATAGTTGACTTGTTGCCCCAGGAACTTCTGTTCTCAACCAAAAAGGAGAAGGAAAAAAAAAAAACAACAACAAAAGACTCTTAAAATCCCAAATAAAATGCTCTTATTGTCGTGGGCAGTCTGGGCAAGCTAATGAGACTGAAGTTCAAACAGGAACTGAAAGAGGGAAGAGAACAAAAAAAGCAATACTGGTAGACATCAGTGTTCATTCCTTCCCTTAGGAATCCAGTGGTGAGACAGACCCCGGCCCGAGGTCTCCTCTGTAGCTTTAGCACAGTGAAATCCGTCCCAATGGGAGAAGGTAGAATGGTTGCATCTGTTGAATGACTAAAAAGTGCATTTTTGATTTCGCTCAGATTATACGTGTTTATTCTAACACCTAAGTGATTGTTTCGCTTTGTTTCCAGTTACGTTTTCTCCCTTTCAGTGCCGGGACGCCAGGTTTGTTACTATCGGTGCTTGGGAGGTATCACCACGAGCGGCGCTCCGTCCTTTGGCCTCCACATGAGTACCTGAGCATCGTTGGCATTGGGTTTGACAAGGGCACTGGGTGGTATTGGCTCATTCTTGCTGAGGACCTGGGGCTGCTCCTGAGCCGAGGGCTCCTGCAGCTTGGCACGCTGCCCCAGGGGTCTGCTGGGGTTCACCTCTATGCCCAGCCTCATCCTCCATTTGATAGTCTGCAAGGTCACCATCTCGTTGGTGGCCGTGTTGGTGGCCACCAGCCAGGTGGTGAAGCTCTGATCCCGGTGGATGCTCGTCAGCTTGGCCACGTTGCTCTCGCTGACGGGCACTGCCCACGTCACGCTCGGGTAGAAGTTGTCGTTCATGCTGATGTTGAACTTGGACTCCTTCTTTGTGGGACCCACGATGGTGCAGGTTTCTGTCGTGTTTCCGTACCAGGGATAGTTCACTCCGTCCGAGTCGCTGATGGCCTGGATTTTACCCTCCAGTAGATCTGGAAGCTCCCAACTTGACCTGCAAAACCAACAAATTACGGATAACACGTTAACGAATTCGTTTAGAAACACGCAGGACTTCAAGGAAGGACAGGAATGAGTTGGGAATGCTCTCCTGTTCGGCTCTTATTGGGTTTTATCGCTCTCATGCAGGAATCACAGAGTCACAAAGGTTGGAGAAGACCTCTAGGATCCCCAACCCCAGCTCACCACACCGTGCCCACCGACATCCCTCAGTGCCACATCTCCACAGGGCTGGAACACCCGCAGTGATGGTGAGCCCACCATTCCCTGGGCAGCTGTGCCAGTGCAGCACTGCTCTTTCAGATAAGTTTTTCCTAACATCCAACCTGAAAGAAGACCTTTTCTATGCCCCTCGTAACAATGAGGACCCTTTCCAGGACTCAGTTTGCCCACAGAGCTGCCTCCCACCCCCCACAGGCTCCATTTCCCCTCGCTGCTCTGATGCTGTGCCCATGCTTGCAGTCGTGCCCTTTCATTCTGGCCAAGCTGCGGTCCCTCCCTGCTGACTGCATGATGCTCGCAGTGTAACCCATCTCTCTACAGCCCAGGAAGGACCCGGTTCAAAGGCCGGGATGATGTTACAGTAATCAGAGAAACAGAGGTCAGCAGGGTGGTAACGCCGCCCCATCCCTGCGCCGGTGGCACTGCGCCCTGCGCCAGCCTGATGGAAAGGTCAGCCAAGAAGGGAGAGCAGCCCTCTGCCATCCCACAGCGCCGGCACACAGGAGCTCCTGGGGTGCTTGGGGACACGTTGCTCCTCTCCCATGGCTGGGACTGACGTAACCATCTCACAAGGCTGATTGCTAATTAGTTAACGACCGTGAAGCGCCAACGTGTTTGTAATCACCGGCTCATTCAGCACTGCACTACACACGTCTGGCAGTCGCTGCCTGATTCCCCGTGGGGTCACTTAATAGATGGTTTTCGTGGGTACCTGAACAAATCTGCAGGTGCAGGATGGGATCTGGGGTCAGAACCACAGCGCTGGGCTGCGTGGCTGTGGATGTGCGGATATGGGATGCGGCATCAGCTGCTGCAGCCTTCTGCTCCCTGCAGCCAGCAGGCAGAGGGAGTCCTTTCCCTGGAAGTCAGCGTGAACCTGCAGCAGCCAGAAGGACCCCCAGCAGCCCTGCTTACAGCCAGGGATGCTCGCTCATTTCCCCTCCAACCCAGAGCCATCCCAAGGGATGCACACCGGAGGACACGGCTCAGCAGGCTGCTCCCTGCAGCCCTGAAGCATGCAGGAGGTTGAATTCAGTCTCTCCCTCCCTTTCAGCAGTGGTTTTAGGGTTGCTGTCCAGGTGCCTGGTTCTCATTATGACTGCAGCCCAGGGCTGAGATGTGACGATGTCCAGAAGGGTCACAGCTGTGACACGAAGGTCACATGGAGGCTGTGTGGCTGGGGAGGTGCCAGGCTGGGCTGTGAAGAGCAGAGGCTGCAGTGGTTGCTGCTGTTGGCTGCCCTGCTGCCAGCACACCTCCTGTCTGCGCTCAGTAATGCGGCAGTGGTGCTGGAAAGAATGCAATGGAACGATCTTCAGCTGCATCAGCACCTTTCTGGGATGGTGTCGAGCCAAGGGAAGGCCAGAAAGTGCCCAGTAAACGCTTTGCTGACAACAGCAGGAAAGCCACCATCCTCTCTGTTTCACAGGCCTGCTGTGGCTGATCGGCTCCAACACCGGTACGTTCTGGGCTGTAATTCTGTCACTCCCGCTGCTCTGAAACCTTCAATCAGAATGAGCATCACCAGAGACCAAACCCCTCACAACAAACATCCTCGTGCTACCAGGAGAGGCACTCTGCCCAGCAGCAGCAGCCCTGGGATAACCCTTATAAATCAGCCACGGCGTTCCGTAAGAGCACCAAAGGCTTTTCCTCCAGCCCTGCGCATGTGGGAGAATTACTGTCACCACAGAGAGGTGCCCACTAACGTGCACTGATGGCACGGCGCTGCCCGGCTGTCCCAGTGATTCTCAGTGCAGGAAATCTACCTGCAGCTCCTTGAGATTTGCAGCTGGTCCCATTCAAACCGCATTATTTCTTGCTCTGTTTTGCATACCACCATCTGCGCTGCTCCTTGCACGTCTCCATGGAGATGAAGAAGCAGGACTGGGCGATGCTGGTTCTGCCGGAGCTGGGTCCTGCAGGTCAGAACCCCACGGCCCAGCACTGAGGATGCCACGTGGCAGAGCAGCATCCTGCCCTGGTGCTTGGAGTGAGCCTTGCCTGGTGACAGCAGCACTGGTATAAAGGGGGGGGGGAGAGTTCCCCAAATCTGCATGCAGAGAGGTGACAGAGTGTTTCCGTTTCCTCCTGCCCAGGCTGTTGTGCTCCTGGCAGCGTGAGCCACCAGCAAAACAACCCCCAAAAATCACTGGTTTCGCTTTAAAAGCGCGTGTCAAACTGATGCCCTCTGCATCCAACACCCGTGCACTGAGCCTGATGCACAGCTCCATCTGCTCGGCTGTTCCTCACTGCTCTGTCCCAGCACTGGGGGCTGCTGGAAGCGCTGCTGTTGGGGTTGGCCCAACCTCATTTGGAGTCCTGGGTTTGCTGCCACCATAGAGATGAAGGAAAAAAAAAAAAAAGAAGAGAAAAACGGTTGTTCCAGCGGTGTCCCTTCATGGAAAGCTGGGATGAATGGCACAAAGCAATGCAGCTCCATAGAGGTCGGGGTATTACAATGGCTGACAGCCACAAGGAGGGCAAAAATCTTCCAGAGTGTGTTCTAATGGCATGAAGCAGCCTTTCAGCCCCTATTTAGGGCTGTCAGATGGTGGCACACCATCCTGGTTACATCTGCACTGCTCCTCTGTATCAGCCCAATGAGCCTCCCAGGGAAACGACTCTCTGCTTCCCTGGCTTTCTGGATAATGGCTCTCCCACACATCTGCAGCTCTTCATTCTGACTGCCTGCTCACAGCAAACTTTTGCCCGCAGCTCTCAAAGCAACGCATCCTGGGGTGACTGCACCACATCCTGCTTGCTTTACCAACGGGGGAACTCGGGGGCAGAGCAGTCAGACAGCTCAGGGGGGGTGTGGGGTGAGCAGCAGAGGCACGTTGGTCCCCTGCCTGCTCCTCCTGCTGTGGCGGATGTGAGCTGCACTTGGGGACATCCCCACGTCCCCCTGCAGCTGCTCACTAAAGGCTGCTGGTTCCTATGTGAGAATTACACCTGCAAATCCCCACGGCCTGGAATTGGGGATGTCTGAGCAACAAATTGTCCTTGCTATAGAAGGGTTTGAAGCTAAAAAGCCCACAGCTTTCAGGCCTGCTGTAAGTACTTCTAAAATCAAGATAAGCTCAGCTGCTCTCTTCCTGCTGCCAGCGTTGGTCAGGTGCTGCAGTTTGCACCTCCAGGCGCTTACCGTGTGAGCAGAGAGGACGTGAGGACAGGAGTCTGTCCCTCAGGGCTGCTCCTTGGTGCGCCCTTCCCCGTGCTCTGCGTCTCCCTGCATGCATTTGCTCATGTCTGAGCTGCCCAACCCGTGCCTGCAGCTGGGCAGGAATGAAGGGCTGCGGATGCTCAGGCCTCCAGGAGGGCACTGCGCTGTGTCCGAATTTCTCCTCTCCAGCCCTACCTTCCCTCTCTCTCCCTCAACCCTCCCCACGCAGGCCAAGCCAGCATCACCCCCCCAGCCCCACAGGATCATCAGAGGGGCAGCGGCTCTCACCCCTCCATCCTCCCTCCGTGCTCCCAGAGCCGAGCAGCGCCCGCAGCCCCCGCTGCACCCAGCTCTACTCTCCAAACTCAGGCACTGCAGGGTTGCGCTGCCGGCACCATGAGTTGCAGAATTGCAGCTCCATGCAGGCACGCAGAGCTGCTGCCGGCTGCACTGTGGGCCAAAGCCTGCGACGAGCAGAGAGCCGGCGGAGGGCTGCGGGGGGGCTGACTGCTCACAGCAGGGAGGTGACATTTCCATTTGACTCATTCGTGTCTCACTGTGACTGTCTGACCGCTAACACGGGGCTTTTGGAGTGCAAACAGCCCCTACGTTCCTCCCACCTCCCGTACATATATATGCTTATTCCCACTCCTATAGATATGTATGCCTATTCCCACTCTTCCTATTACCCCAAACGAAGCCAATGTCTTTGTTTTTTAACCCTGCCCCAAGGTGATGCAGTGTTACCCCCTGGCTAAACCCATCTCAGGGCTGCCTGCAGCCAAGAGCACTCCAAGCAGGTTCCCCTACGCCATCCCCGTGCCCCCGGTGCACTGGTAGCAACACTGCAGCACAGCAGCAGGGGGCTGGGAGCAGCCACAAGTGTCAGCCTCAGGGCTGCCCCGGGGTGCCTCAATGCGCAGTGCGCGATGGGGGGATGCAGGGGGCTGCCCTTTGCAGGAGGGCTGGCTCCGGGGCTTGGCTCTCTGGTGCTGCTCCTGGTTCGCCAGCAGCACGTTTTTCTGAGCGTGTTCCCATCAGAAAGACAAGGACACCCACTGCTTTAAAAGCTGCAGGCACCAGCTCGCTCGCTATTTCAAAGCATAGGAGAAAGTCCTGCTAAGTTTCACAGAAGCCAGCTTCTAGCATCAACCCAACCGTGCCGTTGGCTCATCCCAGCCAGGCCGTGGCTCCCTGCTCTTCCCCCTCACCTCACAAATGCCCACACACACACACACACACACATGCACACATGTGCTCTGGAACGACTTCTATGACTTACATTCCCTGGTCCCCGTAGTGATTGTAGAATTCCATGTGGCTGCACGCCTGGATCCAGCCCACGATCCACGTCTCCTTCTTGGGGATGGGGGGCACCAACACCTGCGCCGAGGCGCGGAAGTGCGGGGTGCGGTAACGCAGGACCACGCTGGAGGACTCGTCGATGCTGGTGGGGATGGGATCGATGGAGGCTTTGACTTCAATCACCGAAATACTTTCCCGGAAAACTTTGGATTTGCAGCTAATGCTCTGAATACAGCCCATGGCATACCCCGAATACAGTCCGACGCAGCTCCTCGGGTACTCCAGCAATCCTGGGGAATATTAGGCATTGAAATTATCGGGTGCGAGATCAATTACAGATCTTCTCGGTGCGTAACCTCACAAGTGGTATCCATAGGATAGAGAATTCATCGCGCAGAGCCTTCATGTGGTGCCTTCATGTGGTGCCCGTCCTACAAACGCCGCTCCTGCCCGGAGGTTCGCTGCGCTCCACGAGCCAAAGGGCCTCGCAAATTGCTCCCCTTTTAATGACCCTTTAAATCTCTCGCTCGGTCTTTAGGTTAGAAAAAAAAAAAAAGAGTCTCTCGAGTTCAATAAATCCCGGTGCTGCTTTAGCTGATATATTTAGTCCTTCCTTTGCTCAGATGCGGTCTGTCATTCCCCGTCAGGCGTGGGGCCGGCCGGCATTTCCCTTTATTCTTTGGATGAAAAGCAGAATGTTGATAGACACATCTATATAAATAATGAAATAGTTTGGAGCCCCAGCTTGTCACAACCGGTGTGGATTTCCACTTCCTGACTCGCAGTTGTTCACAACTTCCTTTCGCACAAAATTACAATAATAACAGAAAGAAGCAAAAAAAAAAAAAACATATATATATATATATATATATAATAATAAATAAATAACCCGGCACCAAACCTCAAACCCGACGGGTGGAGAAAAAGCGACAAAGTGCGTTTTGGAGCTTCCTCCGCCGTCTGGTTGGCTGTTTTTTCCTCGTTAGAAATAGCCGGAGCGCTCCGTGCCGGGGGGCTGCGCGGAGGGCAGCGGCACAACTCAACACCCCCCACCCCCCCCTCCGCGCTGCCCCCCCCCCGCCCCCCCGGGGCCGCTCAGCAGCGCACAATCGCCGCCCGTCACATCCCCGGCGGCGGCGGGGCGGGTTGGGGGGGAACCCCGCGGTCCCCCTTCCTCCTCTTCCTCCTCCTTGGAGCGAGCGCTGTCCGCAGCCGTCCGACCTTCCTCCCGCTCCTCCTCCTCCTCCTCTTCGCTCTCAGCCGGCGGCGCTCATGGGGCCGCCCCGCACCCGCGTGCGTTCCGCGGGGAGCAGCTCCGGGCCGCGGCCGTGCGCCGAGCGCTGCGCGGGGGCGCCGAGCGGCGGTGGCGGCGGAGGGGGGGTTGGAAGGAGGGGGGGGGGGTTGGGGTGGAGGCTCCTGCGCGCTGCCGTGCGATCGGTGAGAGATTTTTATTTATTTATTTATTTGATTTCTTCGCTTCTTCTCTGCTAAATGCCCGCGGAGGTGAGAGAAGCAGAATCGGTGCCTCCGCCTCTCGGCTGTCGCAAGCTTCCTCTCTCGCAATACATTCACGCATACGGGAACGACGCCGGTTCCCCCCCTCCCTTTCCTCCCCCCCTCCCCGCTGGGTTTCAGCCTTTCAGCTCCGGGGGGCGCGGGGGAGGGGGGGGGGGGGGGGGGGGAACCCGCAGCAACCGCAACGTTTCGGCCGGGTCAAACTTTGCGGCAAAGTGACCCGAGCCCCGGCCCCGAGCGGCTCCGTCCGCAGCCCCGCAGCCACATCGCGCTCCGGAGCGCAGCGCAGCGCAGCGGCTCTCCGTGCCCCGCACCGCCCGCCCTGCAGCGCTCAGCCCCATCCCTCCCCCTGCATTTCGCTTTTAAACTGCAGCTGTTGAAGCTAAACCTCCTTTGCAGAAACAGCATTTCCTCCCACGTGGCCGTGAATTGTGGGTAATGTAGTTTTTGTACAAATAAAGGGTAGGGGCTTTTTCCTTCTTCTTCGTCTTCCTTTTTTTTTTTTCTTTTCCTTTTTTCCTTTCTTCTCTCCTTCCTCCCTTCTTTTGTTCCCTCCTCCCCTCCCTCTTTTCTTCCTTCCTTCCCTCCTTCTCTCCTTCCCTTCCCCCCTCCTTCCTTCCTTTCTTCTTTCCCTCTCTCTCTCCCACTTTTCCACCCTTCCTCCCTTCCTTCCTCCCCTCCTTTTCTTTTTCTCAGCTCAGATGCAATGCGTTTTCTCGCAGTATTGGTGAAGGTTTTTCTCCCAGCTGGTCGATTCACTGAAGGGATGCTCTCCAAACCTGCAGCCCTGGTTCAAGCAATGGGAACGCAAAGCTCTCTGAGCAGCAGCTGGGGCAGGCAATGGGAGAGCCAGAGGCCGCAGTGCGCTGGGTACTGAGGATAGCGTTAGGGGTCGGTGCCACCCAGCAGAGCTCAGCACCAGGTGTGCACATGTTGGGCAATAGCTGCTGTGTGCTGAGCGTCGCACACCTACCTTGATGCTCTCCTAAAGGGGAAACCCCCTGCGCTGAGAGCCAAGAATGATTTTGCGCTGCTCGCAGTGCTGCACGGCTGCCTGGAGCTGAGGAAACTCCTGTTACTCCTTCGTGCCCCGCGCTCACTGCAGACTCAGCACCTTGCAACAGCAAACTCAGCATTTTCCAATATCTGTGCGCTTCTTGTCTGGCCTCCAGCAAAGATGGGAGCCACGAGTTGCCTCTGGAGAGGGAATGCCACAGGCAGGGCAGATACCCTCCCGCTGCTCCTGCTGGCTCCGAGGTCCTGGGGGGCTCCTGCCCATGCGTGCCTGGGAGCCCTGCTCCAACCCCGTGCACCTTGCAGCTGGGTGCTGCCCTTCCGTGCAGGGTGTGCACCGAAGACCTTTGTGCCAATGATGTGGCAGGGAGTGCAACCATTGCCGTGTATTGTTACGGTTTTCTTCCTATGTTTCTCAAAATGTCAGCTAAATATTTACCTGCTTGAAACTTCTCAGGATGTCTGTGAAGGGTGCCGTTACCAGCCTTGAAACAGAGGGAAAAACTAAGAATGAGTCCAGGAGGTGCAGGAAAGAATGAAATGAGCATCTCCCAATGAAAAATCCAGTTTCTTCAGCAACCTCCAGAAGGTGCTGAAATACTTTGACATTTTCCAAGACTCTTTCACACCTTTCAAACAAGCTTGTCACAGTTTCTCAGAGCATTATGAATTTGGTGAAGCTGCATGTTCTGAGATCCCAGCTCCTCTCTAGTTTCACCCCTGCTTTGCTTCAACTTGGCATTCTCCCATGTTCTGGTCGACTAGGAAATGGCATTATCTCACTCTAATTAAATCAGCTTTTCATCTTCAGCTGGAGTTTGCTTCGGTGTTGGCCATGCCTGCCTCCATTGCTCCGGTCAGTGTGATTGAATCACTGTGCCTCACGCAGCGTGGTTGCTGTGCCTTGCTGGTGGAGTTGGTTTTTGAGGCCAAGTACCAGCTGGGAGGAGCTGGTGATGCTGGGGGTTGCTTTCCTTCCACTGTGTGCTTGATGCTCCATCCATCACTGCCCTGTAGTGTGGTCCCATCAGCCTCGTGCTTTCCAGGCTTGCTGAAAGGCAGATTCTCCTTTCCTATGAAAGAGAACAGCCCCACTGATGGGACACTGCTGCTCTCCTCTCCTGCTCTGCTCTCACCACGAGCAGCACATGCTTCCTTCACGCCTGTCACATTCTGGCCCCAGTGTGCCATGCAGAGCAAAGCCCCACGTCCACAAATGTGTCAGAGGACAGACAGGCACCAGATGAAAGCAGCTCCCAGTGCAGGGTATTTTTTCCCCGTGACACCTCCCGAGGAACGTGCTCAGTAATAGCTCAGCATCCCCAGCAGGGGAGGGGACAAGAGGTGACGAGCCAAGCCGCTCTATTTCTGCAGGTTCCTGGCCACCATCACATTAACTCTTTGCACACAGATGCTTGCAAGGAGCCTTGCACCACAGCAGCCCTGCAGCAGGTGGCATCGAGGTGTCCCTCGTGGGCTGCCTCAACCCCAACAGAAATTCCTGAGGTGGAAGGAGCTGCACTGATGTGTTGGGAAGGAGGGGAAGAGCTCTTCCCGCAGCCCACAGGCGCTGTCACATGCTCGAGATAGGCTCCTAGAGGATGTGATTCAGAAATAAGTTGATGTGTGTTATTTTCCTTTGATTCATAAGCAAAACCCAAGAGGGAGTGAGGGCTCCAGCACGGATTTGCTGGCCCAGCATGGCAGTGTGGGTGTCAGACGGGCACAGTGTGCGGCTCAGCTCGAGGATTGGAGAACCACAGACAAGAAGCACAAAGTTCTGCTTGCTGCCTCACAAAGCCAAGAACCACCTTTAATTTAGCACTCAGGCTCTGCTGTACATTTTGTATAAGGCTTTTAAAGAGACACGGGTGCTGTTTCACAGTGTTACCCGTACCAACGCTGACCTTTATGACTCCTCATTCCCATGGGGAAGCAGCAGCACGGATCCAGGAGCGGCGCCCATTTTGCCGCCTGGTGCCACGCTCACCTTCCCCACCTCCCTCTGCGGGGCCCCAGGGCTGCGGCGCTGCCATGCTGGGGCTGATGCCACCACTGCTGTGTGCAGCTCAGGGACGGGCTCTGCTGTCACCTGCTCTGAGCGCGGGGTCTGCGATGCGATGCGGGATGACACGGCAGAAAGGCGTGCTGTATTTAGGGCACGCTCAGCGCCGGGGGCAGGGGGATGGGAATTCATTAGCAGCGCAGTGTCTCTTTTAATCAGAAGGTGCTGCTCGGCTGGGGCTGGAGGCAGGGCAGCTATGGATGCCGTGCCAGGCAGGGGATGGGGCTGGGGGTGTTTGCAAGGCGTTCACATCAGGGAGAGGGAAATGTTATTGAGAGTGCCCCTGTGGGGAGGAGAGACAGAACAGAGCGGGCCGGGAGGGATCCAGGTTGTGCCCTTTGCAGGGTAGTCACCGAGTGATGCCCAGTTTGGAGGCTGCACTGACTGCCACAGGAGCACTGTGGTCGCTCCCAGCACTGATGCTCTCTTCCATTGATGATGCTCTGATATTAAAACGTGAATTACACTACCAAAAAAAAAAAACCAAAAAAAAAAACCAAACTACATTTCCCAGTTTCCCTTGCAGCTCTGGGAAATAAGCTATTGGAAGATTTAAATAGACCAGGCCAGAAGCAACCAACCTTTGGCACAAAGCATTTCCCTCCTCTTCTTCCAATCTATTGGCTGTTTAACCTTTTTCCCTGCCACTGGAGTGGCTGCCAAGCCTGGCATTAATTTTCCTTCCAAGCTTGCTAGGCCCATGAAGTAAACAGCCATGTGCATTCCTTACTCTATATTTAACAGCTGCAGACTGTGCTGGGGGCAACTGCAACAGAGGGGAACCTTTGTAGCTTCCCAAATTCACAGCTCGTGAGGGTGGGCGTGGGGAAGATTTCTGCAGGGAGAAGAGGGATTTCTCTCCTCCCTGGTATTTGCAAAGCAGTTCAATTAGAGAAAGACTGCAATGCCAGCATCCCAGACTCGGTCCAGAGCGCGAGACAGGAACAATGTCCTCAACAGGGCTGAGTTCCTCTCCTTGAACCAGCCCCCGAAAGGGACCCAGGAGAGCAGGAGCTCGGGCAGGAAGCAGAGCGGCCAAACAGCGGCGGCCGGAACCCAGAACAGCAGCCCCAAGGAGCAGAGGCAATCGCAGCAGCTGCCCGAAGAGGACTGCATGCAGCTCAACCCCTCCTTCAAGGGAATCGCCTTCAACTCCCTGCTGGCCATCGATATCTGCATGTCCAAGCGGCTGGGGGTGTGTGCCAACAGAGCCTCGTCCTGGGGGGGTGCCCGCTCCATGATCAACCTGCTGGGGATAACGGGGCACGGCATCCCCTGGATCGCAGGTACGCTCATCTGCCTGGTGAAGAGCAGCACGCTGGCGGGCCAGGAGGTCCTCATGAACCTGCTGCTAGGTGAGTGGCAAAGCCCCATCCCAACAGGACTGCCCAGCCCCGCTCACAAGGGACGGTGGCACTGGGGCTCCTCCTCTGGCTGCTCCCACCGCGATGTCTCAGTGACCTTTCCGGGGAACGCTGTGCTTATTGGCTGCCTTGGCAGCTTCGTGCTGCTCCTGGGTGCTGGGGGTGATGGATGTTGTCGGTAGGGGTGCAGGGATCCTGGTGGATGGCCATAGCGATAGAGCAGCCCTGCACAAGGCTTGGGTTGGTTTAATAGGGCCAAGAAAGTGTCTGTGAGTGCAGGTGGACGCCGGCGGTCACGGTGTTGATTTATAGCCATCAGCCCTGGTGGTTTGTTGAGTTGGGGAAAACATGAATATTGTAAATTTGATACATGGATCAGAGCCGTAGGAAAATAAACAACAAACATTTCCATCCCCTCTGCTCTTCTTTGAGCGGGCTCAGGCTCCACAGCTCAGCAGCCACCCGATGGAGTCTTGTCTCGTTTCTTACTGTGATTTGATCTCACATCCTTCATCCCAGGAGGGCCTTTCTTGCTGCTGTCCTCTTTTCCGTGCACTCATTTCACCTGGTGGCCATGAGCACAGCTCTGATCTCTCTGGCTCCCCTCCTGGTCCTTTACTTGAGGTCGATCATGGCAGAGCAGCCAATGTCCCAGCCATGACCAGGCCCCACATCTGCGCCCCACATCCAGACCCCTGCCCACCCTGGCTGTCACCCCCAGGGTCCTCCTCTTCCCTCCCTTCTGCCTTTGGCCTGCAGCCTGGTTATAGTGGCTGTGATCACCCCAAGCTCTTCACCCTCTCCAAAAACAGGTGTGCAGAGCTCGCATTTTCAGTCAGCACAAGGGTTGAAGGCATTAGATTTAGGCCTTTGTTTCTCAAGGAGCACTGTGAAGGGTCACAGCAAGGCTTTATTGCAGCAGTGTGTGCTGTATGGGTGCTGCAGCGCAGCTCAAGTTTTTTTTCCAGAAGTTCATCCTTCAAGGAGGGCAAAGATTGTGCTGAACCAATTTGAAAAGCACAGTTGTAGCTTCCCTGTTCTCCCCTCTGCCTTTGAAGAGTCTGTCCTCGTGCTGTGACATCCAATGAAGGGACGCCATGGTGGGGAGGGAGCCAGAATAGCATCGGCGTGATGCAGGGCCGCCAACGTCAGCACTTCTTCCCCAGGCCGCTCAGTGCTCCGGGTCAAAACCCTCGCTGAGAAAAGAAGCTCCGTCTGAAAGGGCACGAGGATGAAATAGGAGGCAGCCAACATCAGCCGGCACAATTTCCAGAGGTCTCTTGACCTGAGAGGCTCCGACAGTTCTGGGGCCTGAAAATCCACCTCTTTGAGTCCAACCTATTTGTGATCTTTATGAAGAGTTCACGCCACTTTTGGCTTAAAACCAAGGAAAGCCTTCTTGCTCTTCCATCGCCATCCAGGAGGCCAAATGCAAAGGCAGCTCCAGGCTGCGCTGACCAAGGTGCCTGCAGCCTCCCAGCAGAGCTCTCTCGGCAGGGCTCGTGTTGCTCTGCAGAACAGGATCTCTGCAAGCGTGGCCTTGGGTTGAGATCTGAGATTGCAGTCAGGAGCTCCTAATATCGGAGCGGCTGCTGCTGGAATGCCTGCATTGCTGATGGATGAAGGAGTTCAGCAGGGGAGCTTGGGGCTCAGACCCCAAGAGGAAAGGGGGGGTGTGACAGTGCTGCTGCATCTGGCATCCCGACTCCCTCTCACTGTTGTTTTCCTAGGATTGAAATCCAGCAGGTCAAAGGGACAGGTCAAAGGGAGAAGGGAAGCTTGCTGGTGCTTTGCTGGGCTCCTGGAAGCAGAGAAGCTGGGGTTGTCTGCAGCACCCCATCTTTACCTCCTCTGGCTCTCCTCCCTTCCCCCTGGCTTGCTCAGGGTTTGATACATCAAGCAGAATTTCTGATGCAGTCTCTGGGCAGGCAGCCAGCCCATCACAGAGCACTTGTTTAGGATTTGCAATCAGGCTTTCAAGGCGAGGAGACAGGAGACTGCCGAAATGGGACCAGGAACCTGGCAGGAGCACCACTGCAGATGGAGGGGGGGAACTGCGCTGGGGGATCTTGGTAGGATCTGTGCCAAGAAGAGTGGGAGCATTTAGGGTGAGGGCTTCTGACCTCTCTCCCTGGGACACGCCATCCATCCTGACTGCTGATGTTGATTAGCAACCCCCAGCAATGTTTTCCCTCCGCGGTTGTCATCTGTGATGGAATTTATTGATTCTCCTCCTCATCGTAATCTTTTTTCCAGCAAATGCCAAACAGAGAAGCACGATCTCAGCCTGTTACTGAAAAGATGGAAGAAATCGGCCGTCTGTGCCCACTATCAAAATCATTCTGCCAGAATGTGCTTTCAGGAAGACTGCCTTGGTACTGCCAGGCCTGGCTGCGAAAGAGTCAGGAGGAAAGTCTGCTCCCCCTCTGCCTCACTGCAGAAATCAGAGCTTGGGAAGGCTCCCAGCTAAAGCTCGCTTTATTTGTGTGGCACTGTTGGAATTTCAGGGCCAGTCAGGCTGTTCTTTGCAGTCACAAGAATCTCGTGGAAACTGAAATGCTTAGAAAACCATTTGAACCTTGCAACTGGGTTTTCAGAGGGAAGGCAGATATAAAGCTGTCATCACTGGAGCTTCTCTAGAACCAGGCAGAAGAGCTGTTGAACTCTTGAGGGAAAGCAGTGCCTTGGTTTCTGGTTCTGATCCATCTGGAGAGAGCATGGATCCGAACGCAGTGATTCATTGGCTGCTAAGCCAGCAAAGAACGTTTGGATCACTGATCGAACCCACAGCAAAATACAGGCGGTAGCACATCCCTGAATTTATTCCTGTTCAATTTGCTAAGGGAAAAAACCCAAACACTCAATCAGACGTAAGATTTGGAGTGGCGCTGAACTTGTCTGAACCATTTCTGTATCACAGAATACAGAATGCAGGGGTAGGTGATCTCACAAGTGCATTGCTCTTAGTTTGACTGCTCCCTGCCCTCCGTTGCCTCCGCACACCATTGTCTCTTCAGCTGAATAGCTCTTTTATCCAGCATCCCTTCTGCCTTTCAATATTTTGGACAGTGCTCAAGTCACCTTTTCACCTCCTATTCATTAAGCTTAACAGACTGATCTCGTTAGACTGATTGTCTTTCCAGATTTGAGCACCTTCGTAGAGTAAGGAGGGATGGAATATGGTGATCTACCATAGGGAGGCCAGGACTGTTTCTGCAGGCCTGGAGGTCAGCAAGAATTCAGTCCATGCTCTCCCCGTGGATGCAGACCTAGCATTAGTCCAACTGGGAACAAAGCCATAACGCTGTGAGGCACATCGCCCTGCAGAACGGCGACTTCATTCTGAGCCCTATATATATGTATTTATAAATACATACAGAGAGATCTCTGGAGGCCGTCATGCAGCCTCCACACAAGAGCAAACTGCCAGGAAAGTGGTAGTTTAAGGGAAAATGAAGAAAGAAATGCCTTCCCCGGGTCCCTCAAAGACCCTCTGACCCTCCTCTAGCCGTACAGAGGGACTTTGTGTATGGAGCTGCTTTCCTTCGGAATCCACGCAGTGAAGATTCGGATCGTACAGCCCGCTGCTGTTAAAGGTCACCGAGCAGATTAAATGCCCAGGCAGTACAGACAAACTCATCCCACTGAGCCTCGGGGCTCAGCAGCTCAGACCCAGCAGAGAGGACGGGGAGCTGTGCTGGCAGATGGATCAGTCCGGGCGCAGCAGAGCTTGCTAAGCTGAGAGCCCCAGAGATGGTTTGGGGCCAGATGTGTCTATTTTTTCCTTTTCATTTTCCCACTGCGAGGCTGGGGATTTTCTGAGCTAGACAGGGCAGATAGCATTTCAGCAGACGAGAGCAGCCCAAGGGCTGGCACCCTGTGTGTGTTCCCTGCTCAGGAACGCTCCCACTCCCTGCATCCATGTCACAGGTCCAGCCTGACGTTAAACATTCCTCTCCATCACATCCAGCTGCTAATCTGCCCATCATTTTCCTGCCCTTGGTCCTTTGGTAGGTGCCATTCTTACCCCATACCCCTGGGTGAGTTCAGGCAGCTCCGAGCAGCAAACAGTGCCCAGCTCCCTGCCCCCTTCCCTTCCTCTCCTGCGTGCTTTATGGCAAGTGCATTCTGTTCACTGCAGGGCAGACGTGCAGCCTGCAGTGTCCCTGTGTGCAGAGGACAGTTGGTGACAGGCTGGAGCCCATTTTGCTGTGGCTGCAGCAGACACGGGGGATATTTCCATGGATCTGTGCAAGGTCTCTTTTAGATCCAGGGTTGAGAAGTCCCTGTGGTCAGCATTGAGGTCAGGTCCTGCCTTTTTGGTTCTGGAGATGGTGTGAGCCCTGAATCCCTGTGTGAAGCCCTCAGGGAATTGCAGGAAGCTTAAAATCGAGCAGGCAAAATATTCCCCAGTCTGAATGCAGATTGAAAGAGAAAAGAAGTGCGAGGGTTGCTGAATGGGAAGAGGAGGAATAAACAAGGGAAATGAGTCATGCTCGCGTCTGTCACTCCCGAGCAGCTTCCCATTGCCCCTCTGGGCAGGGACACGAGCTGCTGGCTGCTGTGGAGGACTGAGCAGGGCTGAGCAGGGCATCCATAGGATGGGTGAGCAGCTTTGTCCCCAGCTTCTTGGCAGGAGCTGAAGCAGCGGAGGTGCAGCGGGTGAGCAGCAGGAGCAGGGATGCTGAGCAGGCAGCAGGGCTCAGGCCAGCTTTGGTGCAGAATGGTGATGGAATCAGTCACTGGACTTTTTAATTAATTGCACAGTGCTGATTTCTGCCATTCTTTTCCTTCCCTGTGGCCACTTGGCCTAGCATGCCTTTCACCCCATAGCCAGAACCCTCTGCTGCTTGTTCAGCCAAAACATAACCTTCCCCAAAACACCACAGCGTCTGATTCAGTGCTTAACTGTGTCGTGCCATCTGTGCCTTTTGTCAGCTCCTGCACCTAATGGTGCCGTGTTTGGGGAAGAAAATGCAAGAGAGGAGTTCACTTCCAGAGGAGTGGAGCTCATCTGGAGCGAGGGTGATGATGCTCTGGAACCTGCATCTTTCATTAGTGTCAAGTAGCCAAGGCTGCAAATGGCTCATTTTCCAGGTCAGGGAGCCTCATGCCTGCAGGAGGTTTGGGAAGCTCCTTGCAGAAGCAGTAGGATAGGGCTTGTATGTAATAACTGAACAGCTCCAGTTCAAAGCAAATGTTGGGGGAATTCTAATTGTGGATCAAAAGGAACTATTTCCTAGGGAGGGTGACATGGGGGTTGTTAGTTAGGGGAGTATGGTTAGGTTGTAGTTGGACTTGATGAGCTTGAAGGTCTTTTCCAACCTGAGCAATTCAACAGTTCTATGTTCCTGTGTGTCTGACGTTGGCTCATCTGGAAACAAAGCACCATCAGAGCCAACCTGGGCCCTATACGTGGCCTCTGACACAGTGGGGCAGGGGTCAAAGCACTGCTGGCTTAGGGAGCATTGGGCACTGAGCAACTGCCTGGCTTGCCCTGCCTTAAAATGAGCAGGGGATGGGCACGCTGCTCCCACTGAACTCAGTTTTTCCTCTGCCACGTGCCTGGGCACAGCAATCAGCCCCATGTGCACCACGTCATGTGGATCGGGGCTGTGGGAACAGACAAAGCCAAAGGCTTTTTTGGCTTCCTCCTATTTTTCTATCCCCCAGCACTGCACCCAGGCTAGTTTTCAGCTGTGATTTTGATACTTATGTAAACATCTCTGTAAACACCTCAGCTGGAGCCCACTCAGTCCCCAGGGGATGCTGCCTGGCTCCAGCACGGGCAGGTGATGCCCATGGGCAGCAAGAACAGCCCTTCACCCTGCTGTCACTGCAGCTTGGGCTGGGACAGAAGGCACCTGGCAGGGACAGGACAGCAGCTGCATCAGCTTCCCTTTGGGGAGAGGGCTGCAGTTGGTTTGGTTTTGCTAAGGCAGTTCTATGGGTTTGTCCTTGTGCTCTGCCTATGCAGGTTTTGCCTCTCTGCTCCTAATGGGCTCCTAACATGTGGCAGTAGGAGCGAGGCAGATAATTGTTTTCCTTCTCTTATTAATAGATATAAAATGTCTGCCCGGGGGGCTCGCTTTCAGCTCATTGCTGTGCATCTGATGCCAGATGTTGGCTATTTGCTTTACCAAGGTGATCTCTGATGCTGAATTGTCGCAGATGGGCAGGGCTCGCTTGTTGGGTTTGCACTGTAAGGAAGTTTTGGATGTTAGCAGTGCTTTCTGTGATCGGATGGGCTTGCAGTGCTTCTCTCATAACAGGCTAAAGAGAAAATTCTGGATCTTAGAGAAAAAAAAAAAAGGAATATGAGAAGTAATGGGTGAGATCAAACCCTTCCTTTGGTGTCTTTGCTGCTTTCAACTCAGTGCTGCCTGTATGTGCATGGAGGAAAAGGCTTAGAACTACAGTGCCTGCTCCCCTAATCTCACCTCTCTGCCTTCTTCACTGCACATGCAACAGCCCCAAGTGTCTGTCTGCTCAATCAGTCCCCCCCAGGTTCCCTCTTGTGGTTTTGTCCCCTCCAACCTCCACTGCTCTCGGCCTGAAGGGTGTGTGTGTGCCTGGGTGTGTGTGCTGCAGATGGACGGGTGCTGGTTGCACCCCCAGCTGGGGCTGGGCAGGCTGCTGAGGCTGCTTCCTCATCATGAAGGGAACAGAAAGTGTAGGAGGAAGTACAAAAAAACACTTGATGGAGCACACTTAGGTTTGGTTCTTTTTTCTTTTTTACTTTTAACAGCACATTAACCCTCCAGTTCTGATGCTAGCATGCCTTCAGATCAGGAAACGCAAGCGAATGAGGCTTTCTGCTTTCTGAACACTGTTTGATGAACATCTGACCTAGCAGTGCTAAAGGTCCATTTTATTCATCCCCTGAATGAAAGGATTATTAAAGCACCTCTGCTCCGACCGCCTCCATGTGCACACCTACATTCCCTGGGCTGCCCTGGTGCATCACCTTTGTCTGGGAAGAAAAAGCAGGAGTTTGGCTGGGAAGTAGAAATGCCAGGAGCATTGGCTGGTGCTAGAGGGATGGAAGGAAGGGAAAGAGGATAAAGTACAGATGGGTGTTGTTCCAGAGCAGTTTGAAAGGTCATTTGGTGCTGAGGGTGCTCTGTGGTTTGTGTTTCTGCACTGCGCGGCGGCGCTGATGGCGCTCAGCTGGGAGGTCAGCTGCCAGCTGGGTGACCTGCAGCTGACGGGCTGAACCTGAGCCTTGTTTTAAGGACAGCGATGACCTTTGTGTGCTCAGCACTGCAAACTGCCCTTGACTTTTGCCTCTGTCTCATTTTACAGCCCTGCTGTTGGACATCATGATCGTGGCCGGGTTGCAGAAGTTGGCCAAGCGCAAGGGTCCGTACGACATCAGCCCCGGGCTCTTGGACTACCTGACCATGGACACCTATGCGTTCCCAGCCGGGCACGCCAGCCGTGCCGCCATGCTCTCCAAGTTCCTACTCAACCACCTGGTCCTGGCCATCCCACTCCGCATCCTGCTGGTCCTTTGGGCTTTCTGCGTTGGCTTCTCCCGCGTTATGATCGGTCGGCACCACATCACAGACGTGCTCTCCGGCTTCGTGTTCGGCTACCTGCAGTTTAGGCTGGTGGAGTTGATATGGATGTCTTCCAACACGTGTCAGATGTTGATATCCATCTGGTGAACGCGGGGGACTCGATGCCTTTCCACCCAAAACCAGCAGATACTTTGAGTCCCCTTCTCCTGGTATTTTTTACCTATTGTTTGTTGGAAACAGTTGTAACTTCCATGAGTAGTGGCGTTTTTTAATGTTGCTTCCCCGCCTGGAAAAGAAAGTTTCTTGCAATGGATTGGGTTTTAGCACCCAATGTTGTTGGCCATGTTCTCAAACTGTATTTGGACAGCAATCAAATTAAGCTTCACAGGCGAGAGAAATGAGCTCCACCTGCCTCACTGGAATGGTTCAACTCTCACCTGGGTTTGTCCTCAGCATGGGCAGCGCCTAAGAGCTTCCTGAGGACTCGGCTGTTAACTGTCTGGAGGCTAAAGGATTTTGACCACAGTGCTTTTTCTTTTTGTAAGCCAAGCAACTGTGTCTTGTGCAGAGTCAGGACACTGCTGGCGTTTCACAGATAATAAATAATGGTGAAAATCCTGCCCTGCTTGGTTCTTCTGCTGAGGGAAGGGACAGAGGGCAGCTCGGGGTGGCTCTGAGGTTTGTGCTCACCATGGGGTGTTTATGGGTTGCTTTTTTTTGCCTGCTAAGTGGCAAATACTGCTGCCCATTTTCACCCTGGCAGGGGGCGTTGTGTTGGATGGTGGTGAGTTCACAAAGCAGGTCGAGATGCACAGCTTCTTTTTCCTACCTCTTCACAGCTATGAGTTTATACTTATGCCAAATAATGCTATAGAGGGCAATGCCCAAGGTGAGTCCCCTGCAGCCCTGGATGCTTTCTGGTGCACCCAGCAGGGCAGCAGGAGGCCAGGACCAGGCTGCTGGCTCAGCCCTAACCTGTTTGAAGAGGAAAATCCTGAGAGCATCTGTGTCTCACCCAGTGTGAAACAAGGAGGGCATTCCTGACCTTCCTCAACTGCAAGGCGGAGCTAATTGATATCTGCTAAGTGTTCTGATGGGCTGAATGTGATGTGAATGTGATGCACCAACACAGTGCTGCTCCTTTTTATTATTGCTGCTGCTTTCTTCCTTGAAAACCAGCTGTTCCCTGCCCAGGTCATGGCCATGGCTAAGAAAACCCCCGTTTTGCACAAAACCTTCCCACTCTTGGTAGTTTCCCTCTCTTTAGAGCAGACTTTGTTGTTTGGTAGATGACAGAAGGCACTACTGGATGCAGCATTTTTCTGGCTGGATGTTTCTGCAAATGCGCCCGTCTTCCTGGCTGTCCCAGCTGAACAGGACCCCCCTGATTTGCAGTGCCAGGCAGCAATCAGATCCTGAGCTCCCATCCCAGCACCCTGGGGATCCCTATTCCTCCAGGTCAGGGTGGTGAGAATGAAGCAGCGTGCAGATAATGACTGTTGTAGGTTGTTAATATTTGTTGCTCTCTGATAATTAGTACAAAAAGATGATAAATGGGAAAATCTATCCCTGGCAGGTGACTCCAGCTGAGAAATCAGTATAGAGCCCTGCTCTGAGGCTGGAGCCCCTGAATGGGAATTGCAGAGGGCTCCATGCCCTTTAAGGATCAGCATCTTGCTGATCCAGAGGAAGGGTCCAGTTCAAAGTGCCCCAAGGCCCTGATGCTCACTGCATGGATGTTTTGGGGAAGCACTGCATGGGTGCATGGCTGATGCTGAGCCTGCCTGGTGTGCTTCTTGCTGCTGTGCCCAGGGTACCAGCATCGCTGCGGTGAAATCCAGCTTCTGTCACTATGGCAACGGTGAGGGATGGCAGGGAACTGCCATGGGGCTGCTCCCCCCCCCCGCCGTGTCCTTATGTGTCCCCGGAGCTCAGGCAAACCAGTTTCCAGGCTGGGAATATCGCTCATCCACCCTGCTGTGGGCTATGCTGGGAACTGGGATGGATCCAGCACCCTGTGCTGAACCCACAGGGATGGATCCTGAGTGTTTGGAGGCATGGAAGGTACGGCAGCAGGAAGAGAAGGGAAATCTCCCTGGGCTTTGAGTTTTGTGGATGCCATTTCTGCCTCCCAGCCCTGCGCTCCTGGCGGTCCCAAGGAGAGCAATGCAGCTGTTCCTAAAGCCAGGCTCCGGCCCCAGGAGTGCTTCTTCCTCCTTGAAGGTGTTTAGGGATGGAGATGTATCCAATGGTTGGAGCATCTTCAGGAATATAAAGGAGAGCTTTCCCTGAGCCCTCAGGCCCCCAAACTCAGCCATAAGAGATTTGGGAAGGAGCAATTCTGGGGGGCTGCAGCCAGGTGGATCTGGGCATCTTCTGCTTTCAGTTCACCTAACAGATGAATTAGGAAAAAGCCTCATGGGGGGAAACAGGGGCTCAGTGGGCTGCTGACAGCATCGCGTGCACTGACACAGCTGGGAGAGCTGCAGCAATTGCATTGATGGGCACCCCCTCCCTGCACCCTTATGCTGATGGTACTCAGCAGCAAAAAGAGATTATAATTAGGAAAAAAATTGTATGAGGTGCCTAGGAAAGAAGCAAATCTGGATTATATCTGTGGGCATATGTGGGAATCACAGCTTGGGTGTCCAGCTCCCGCTCCCCAACTGAAGCATGTGATTTATTTGTACCCTCTGTGCATTGGTGAGCTCTGTGATGAGTGGGATTGTGGTGGGACATGTCTTTTCCACAGCAGGGCTGCCCAGGGCTGCTGGGGGCTCCTCTCTGCAGCCCCAGAGTGACAGCAAGGCTGTGATGGGCAGGAAAGTGCAGACACTGGCTGGCACCCAGGGAGAGGGTTTGTGGATTTGAGGGCTCAGGAGCATTAGGAAGGCTGTTACACAAGATCTCTCTGTGACAGAGGGGTTCTGGCTCAAGTTCATCCCTTTTATTCTCTCTGAGGTGATAAAGGGACCCTCAGGCTTAACCAGCTCCCTCAGCAGCTGCAGACTCTGAAGAATCTCCTGCTCAGAGACCTCTCCCCCAGTCAGGGAGTCCAGCTGTGTGACTGACTGTCAGTTGAGTTTTTACATTGAAGTGATAACTGTGTCATTCCCAGGCTACAAATCGAATATACTGGGCAAAACCTAAAGGCACAGGAGGGCTCCTTCCTTTCCCACAGGTATACACTACAGAGCCAGGGAACCTGAAACAGACACATGGCCTGTGGCTGTGAGTGAGCAGGTGACCAAGGGTTTTTTTTCTCCAGCATCAACCCAAGGGCCTCAGGTAATGTCCTCCAGATAAGGGAACACTCGGTGCTTCCCAACCCTGTGCTCCATCCAGGGCTGGGCAGGCACAAAGGGTGCTTTGCTCCCTGCCTTGCCGGGATCGGTGTCAGCAAAGATCCCCGCAGTCATTGCCCAGGATGCGAGAGTCAAAGCGGATTAAGAATCCCTCAGCTGATCACATTTATTTCATTATTTGAGTGAAATCCCTTGTAAATACCATCCCCCCCTCCCCTTTTTCTTTTTATAAAAATAGAAGGCAGGGAAGAATTGCAGATTTAGGGAAAGTAGGAGTTGTATAAAATCCTTAACCTCTTGCAGCCTGAGCAGTCGTGAGGGGAGATGCTCCTCCAGCCCCCCAAAGCAAGGTAAAGCCTTGGAGCTGAGCGGGGGGAAGCCTCTCTGGAGGAGAGGAATTAGAGCTTGGCCGTGATGAAGTGCTAATTGCAGCATTGAAACAAATTGGCTCAGTGGGGCTGGGTGAGAGATCGCGCCTCGTTGTTGGGGGTGTGGATATGTTCTGCACTGTGGTTACTGTGAGCTTCTGGGTGGATAAGGATGGGTCTGGGCACCTGGGCATTGCGTTGGGATCTCAACTGGTTTAAGGATTTCTAACAGCCAAATTTCTGGATTTGTTTTTAGCCAAACTTCTGGCTTTCTCTCCCCCAAAACCACCCTGTCCTTGCTGAGTCCCTTTCCCCCCAGTATCATCTCCAGGGCCCTATATGCTCTCTCAGCTCCTCCCAGGACCAGCAGGCTTCTGCAGAGCTGAAAAGCCAGACCTGCAGAGATTAATTAAAATAAGAGCAATGAAGTTGGAGCTCAGAGCTGCAGTGATGGATGCTAGTGAAACACTTGCCCAGAGACCAACGTGCTCAGTGGTGTTTTTCTCCAGCTGAAGAGCTGTGCAATAGTCACACGTGGTGTAAAGGAACCTGCTGCTGCCATCTGGGTGCAGGTGCCCTGTGAGGATGCTCTGTCCCCGTTGGGATTTGCACCTCCAAGCTGCCAGTGCTGGTTTGTCACGGTTTGCTTCCCTGGGCTGCAAGAAGGTTTTATTTGCTTTAAATCCTAAACCTAAAGATGTGTATTAATAGCACGGCAATGCATAGCCTTCGTGGCCAGCACATGCCAGGGGTTATATAAAACACAGATTAATGGGAAACAGTGAAATGGGGGAGTACATGGAGGGAATGACTTGGGAGGCAGGCAGGAAGGAGCTGGCAAAATTAAACGAAACCCCCCAGTGTGGCTGTCCCAAGCACATACATAGGTTTAGAAAGGCTGGGGGTTGTCCAGAATCTTTTCCCACTCCTGCTCTGTGATAGGTGGAAGAGAGGTTCCCAAGGACATGAGGGATGCTACAGCAACCCCAAGCTTTGCAGCAGGTGCAAGGCAGGAGGGAAAACAGCAGGTTTGGGGCACTCTGCCTGTGGGATCGATGGGAGGATGCCTGTGGCTGGGAGGAAGGCAGCTGGGCTCTGGCCATCAATCACGTCCCGCTGGGAATGGCTCGTTGGGCTGCGGGATTCCTGGTGGCATTCCTTTTTTCAAAGCCTCCTGTAATAACAGTGGCCGTTGCTC